CCCCAAAACCCCAAAACCCCAAAACCCCAAAACCCCGGGAAGCCATTAATTAATGATTATTAAAGTGAAATAAATATTGATAGATTAACGAATAAATTATAAATTGTAAATGCTTACAAATATGATTTCTGAGAATTCCCCATCAACCAAAGATTATACTGAAGCTTAATTTAAAGAAGGGAAACAGTAGTAACTTAATTTCTTGAACATCATGAATGACTTACAATCTAACTAATCAAAGTTATCAATCCCATCATATCTACTTAAGCCAGATAAAACTGATGCGAATACATTATAGAACACTAATAATGCTAATACAAATGCCTGCTCAACAAATAACAGTAACAAGCTTGATTCTTACTAATCAAAAGATAAGGATAATTCGTTAACTGAAAGAGATGCAAATGCGAATGTTAAAAAGGAATTCCTTAGAAGGTTGTATCAAAGAGATAAGTCCAAAGATAAGCTTGATGTGCAAAGTAAAAATGAGCCTGCTGCTACTGTAAATCAGCAGCGCTATTCCTAGCCAACAAACTTGACTCAATAATTGATAAGGCTGTAACCAGTTTAAAATAATACTGAATCAGATTATCCTGAAACAAATAGAACGTCAAAACCAGTAATATCTAGCTATACACCTATAAGATAGTCAAATGATTACCTGAGATAATCAAATATTTCTGAAAGGTAGATCAATTAACTTGACTTAATACAAAATGAACCTGATCAATCATCATTTAATTTTAACAGAAACTAATAACCCCCATCAATCATAGAGGAAAATTAGAGTAGAAACAAGATTGAGGATGAGATCAACAGCTTCCTAAAATAAAGTGATAACTCTTATAATTATTCAAGATATTTGGATAACTCTCCTAAAATTATAAGCAACTCTCAGAGTAATCCTAATGAGAGAAAAGATCTTAAGTCGACGTAACAGAAAATCTTTGAAATTGATTAGAAAATCTCAAACCTGAATCTTCATTTAAATAGATAGCACAATATTGAAAAGACAAATGCAGAAGATTTCAGTAATGTGAGTCAGATCTAAGAAAGCCAAAATACTCATGAAAATGAATATGATCACTCTCCGTATCGAAAAATTGCTATGTAAAATTAAAACGAGCACTATAATAAAGGAGGCTTAGCAACTTTGACATTCTAAAAGCACAAATCAACTGATAAGAAAAACCCTTAAAACTATAAGCATCAGAGAGATTAAATATTGGAATAAATAGATTTCTAAAAGGAATACATATAGTAGCATAATTAAGACCTGCCAAGATCTTATAGATTGGATAATTCGAATGACTAAAGCAATCACAATTAGAGAAGTGAAAGCGTGGTATCTTAAAACCTGGGTAAAATAGAATCTAAATACACAGAAACCACATACGATACTTTTGAGAAAAGAAACATAATTTCAAATAATCAACAGCTGTAAATACAAGATTTAGTCCTATCAACAAATAGAAATACCGAGAGTATTGTATATTAGGATGTAAAACGAATGAATGATTTCTCTGACTATGAATAAACTATTGATTCTTGCAATTTAGAAGCCCTCTCTAAGCAGCAACTTATTCTATAAGTACAAGAGTTAAAGAGATAAGTTGATAAGCTCTAGGATTATAAAAATAAGTATGAAAGAACCTCAAAGCAAACTGAAAGAGCAAAGTTATAATTTGCTCATTCTGAAAAAATTAGAAATAATTAGCATCAGCTAATAGAATTACAAAGTTAGAAGATTTAGAAAATAAAAAAAGAATACAAAAAATTAAAACTAGAAAAAAAATAATTAATGTAGATAGTTTCAAAACAAAAAGAGATAGAGATGAGTGCAAACACAACCTTGCAGCATTCATAATCAAGAACTACCATAAAATAAGGCCAATCAAGTGTTAAGAATGGCTAGCATTTCGTGAATAATCCTTACCAGAATATGCAGGCAATGGTGAATTCAAGCAACCATTATTTAAATCTCAATCCTAACACCACTGCTATTGATTACAAAAGAGACCATTCAAAGAAACCTACAATTAAAAAGAGCAAAGATCATTCTACTCATGTATAAATGAAGGAGAATAAGCAATGCATTTAAGTTTATGGACAGCCTTAACAACATCATTAAAATCCTGATAAGCAAGATTATTATGATTGTGTCACACTAAATCCACATGCTAATCATATTGAAAGAAAACTGAGCTAAAGTAAGCTTAATAAATCTGCTAATTACGGATATTAGTAGCAGCATAATAACCAAAGTAGCAGACATAAAAATGGAAACCTAGATAAATCAAGATTTTGAGATTTTACAAAAATATATTTATTTATTTACTTATGACTCAATAAGAATTAAAAAAATTTAAGCAGCATGGGGTTTTGGGGTTTTGGGGTTTTGGGGAGATCGGAAGAGCACACG